TTACATGTGCTTCGCTTTAAGCGAAATCTCGCTGCCTTCATTCCTTTTGAGACCATCTAGAGTCTCTTGAGGTGGTTGATATCACCAGTCCAACATCATTACTGTTATCCGGTAAGTCATTATGCCCTCTATCACAGCTAACGTTCTTCCCGAAAACTGAGCCATCCAGCCATCCATTCCTTAATCTGTTATGTGTAAACGGGTTAGATATGTTTAGGCAGCTTTTATCACAAACTTCATCCTTAACCTTTTTATTTACTTATGTCCTCCAAGTTTTTTTCCACACTTTTTAATGTCGTAAGGTGAAAAATGGTTAAGATTAAATGTCGTTAAGATCGTATCCAAACAAGTCTGCTGAAGTGAGTTTAGTGGTGTGAAGTGAGAACATTAAGCACATGCTGCAAAGTCTCCGTGTTGGGGTAAATACTCAATTAATTTTGCTGTGATTGTCTGCTATTTCACCGTCGATCAGTACCCCAACACTCTCCTAAAATCTGAATGCTGAGTAATGTGTTTTTGATTTTTGCCGCTCATTCTTACTTTTGCTATTTAAGCTTGTGTAGTACAATCGGACAAAACTCTTCATGTGCGCAGCTCTTAATTTCTTGGAATGGAGGAGTGTCGTCTTCGATGTTAGGGGTATCGGCTGCTCGCAGCTCCAAAAAACTATTTATACGTGTTGCTGAGTCAAATAGAGCTGCAGTGCTATCATTCTCTTTAGACAGTTCAAGGTTTGTGAATTTTATTCTCGATCAGACATCACCATACTGTTATTTTGTGTGATTCTTGACTTACAATATAATAGGACTGAAATCATTTGTGTAGTATTTTTCTTCTATAATATACCAATCTAGATTATGTCAAATGAGTACTTCAAGAGCTGTTGCATTTATATTTACTTTTGCTGCTGTAAAGACAGTACCGGAAACAGTAGCAAGGACTCCCTTTTTAACGATATGCGTTTCTGTCTTATACTTCTCTGAAATGGCTCAATTCGGGCTTTCAAACGTAATATGACTATCGCGGAAATTCTTTAGGCAGGTGTCAGACTTTGCGACAATCGCAATCGCGCATTTCTAGCGCCTGCGCCACATGTGCGCGCACATGCCGCAAGCCCAACCACAATTATGTGTAAGCGACCGTCTATTGAAGTCTTTCCAACAGAGCCGGACGCGAGACGATATAAGGGGAAGGATGAAATAGAACTAACTTAAACCCGTGCGCCGATTCCCATTATTCTCTTTCACCTAGCAGTTGTCCCTAGGGAAATGTTGTAGCGTGGGTTTGTAGTGGTTTTGACCGACGATTTACGATTCATTTGAGAAATAAATTAATGCTTGATACGTCACCAATAAGCACAGTTGAGCAGCTTCAAAAGTAATTATTTAATAAATGTCGGATTAGGCTCAGGAATAACAGAATTCCATAGCAATTTCAGCTTGTTGAAGCCAGAGCAATATGCCAGTGATGCACCTTATATGAGCAGTTTTTCCACGGTCCTGGGATTTTCAAGAAACAAATATTGCTACTTCATCGGATCGGCTGTTCAACCATATGAACCTCTCATCAATGCAAATCTTGGAAATGAAAATCGAACCAACTCGAAAATAATCAGGTAATTTGTAACACGTTGGCGGGAGCCTGACGCGCATGCGCGTCAGACCTTAGTGACATGTGTCGCTCTGATGGCAACTCCTTGTCATTCTGAACTTTTTTTTTTGATTTTGATTCGGTTAAAAGAATAGCAGAAATAAACACAAAACTCCGAGAAACTCCAAGGATGGCAAAATGTCAGACATGATTCTAGAGTGTGCTCTTCTGATATGACGCCTGAGTTGGAGTCACGAATGGATCTCGCTCTTGGCTGTGGCCTCGAAGGTTCAATTAAAATCATTGTGATTTTCTTAGGTGTCAAGATTTTTTAATCTCGGTCATTTTTCGCATCTCTATTTAGATACAAGTCAACGAGTTGAAGCTGCTTTTTATGACTCAAGACGTGACCAGTTGACTGTTGTTGTTGCCAGCGCTAACAAGAACGTGAGTACGTTTTAGGAATCTGTTCAAGTATAGTAAGAATATGAAGTAGAACTCTTGTTCAAGTGAAAATTCAACCGTTGGTAGGGAAGTGCGCGGCTTCACACTTGAATTCTTAGGGCTGGGGAAGGGGACCTCGAGGTAGTCACATCCGGGTAGACACCGCCTGGGGATGGGTTTCGAATGTTGGTCTCCAAT